GTGTGCATCTCAGCGACTGCCAAAGCACAGATCCCTCACTGCATAAGATCATGCGTTTCCACCTGCGACCTCAGCGTTGCCAAACACCAGTGCTTTGATGGTATAAAAATCTGAATCACGACACCTACAAGCTTGTAAATATTCCTAATGCTGACACAAAACGGCTGGCTACTTTGATTCAGCTAAACATGTCATGACAGACTCTAGCTTGCTCATTTGGTAAAAAAAGCAAAAAGAAATCAATGTGAAAAAAGTGCAAGCCGATTAAGGGCTAATCTATGTAATTAATTATGAGCAAAATATTATAAGCAACATGGTGCAAATAACTGAAGGATTAGTGAGGAAAATCAAAGCCCTGTCCTGGGAGGCAGGACCATACATTTGAAACCGGCAAGACACATTTAAGTCAAAATTCACCCCAAAATCAAGAAAAAAACAAATAAATAAAAACAAATGTAAATAAATATTGAAGCAAAAGAAAGCCTATTTTTAGGAACGTGTGTGTGTGTGTGTGTGTTTTCATTTTCATTTCATTTTAATTTGCATTTTAATTTTTTCATGACAATAAATACACCCCATAATTATAGCACAATAAAAATACATATTAAAGTTTACATTATTAACACATCATGGAACACTGATAAAATATATTATTTTACTATTTTATTATATTATTTTGTTTTAGTTTCTTGTAAAATACACTGCAATAATCGGTTTTATTTGCAACTTATTGATTGATTGAATTTTACAGTGTAGTACTTTAATTTACTTTAATATATGTTGATTTTAATAAACATAATTGTATCCAGACAGGATGAAGTGATTATTGTATTAAAGTAGTCAGAATCATTCAATTCAATTCACAAACGAAAAATTCTCAAATTCTCTTCCATACACAAATAAACACACGCATGCACATAAAAATTATGAGAGCATTTTTTTTTTACTATTAAAATGCTTTCAATCACCTTTAAAGGCAGAGTAAGTGATTTCTGGTAGCCAATGTTGATATATTTTACACGGGTCCTACTTCTTGCCTTGTCGTTCCGCAGACGTTTTCCTCTTTTGTTTTTTTATCCGCCATCTCTATCTTTCTGTCGCTCGGCTCGGCTAATGTCCGTCCCATGCACTGAAAGCTCTCTCCTCCACATCACGAGTAGACACGCCCCTTACTGCTGATTGGCTACAAGTTTGTTTTGCTATTCGGCCCGAATCAGTTTTCTAAAGTGTTTTTGAAAAATCACATACCCTGCCTTTAATGTGGGAACCCCCAAACACAGAAACACTGGGATCAGCTCAACCCTCAGAGGAGACATTGATCAAGTCAATGATTTTAACAGCCTGGAATGAAGGATTAGATGGAATATGTGTGGAATGCCTTAAACTGGTCTCATAGCAACACTACAGACTAATCACTCACTAACACCCCATCACACACATGAGAGGGAAATGAGACAATATACCAGACAATAGCATGTGCTAAAGAGTCCTCTCAGCACACACACAATATTACACACTGTCACTCAAAGAAATAAACTCAGGCCTAAAACAGATCCAAAAACGTACAAACCTCAAAAAGAGACAGTTAAGGTTAAGAGACAGTGAGAAGTTTTTTTTTTCAATTTCTTCTCAAGCATATTGCTTCCTTTTCTCTATTTTACTCACTAAAGCCAAAATAGTTCATGATGAGTCACACAAAACAGATTTTCACGCTGCACTTAATATCTTTTAAATGGAGTTAAAGTCACTTTTATCCATTTTTCATGGTTGGTTAGAACCGTTTTTGCACTAACATTTTATTGCAGGTTGTTTAGCAACAGACAGTAAACTGTCTCGGTGCTTTTCATATTAAATATTCATCACACTGTACAATTCCACAGACATTCACACACTTTGTTTAGTTTCAGCATCTACGGAAAAAGTAAACAGTGACTGACCGGCCAACAGAAAACATTCTCAGAACGTTATGGCAAGTTATGAACAAACATTCTTCCAGTAACATTAATAGAATGTTCATTTGAAGTTATCTGGTCTTTAATAATGTTCTCTAAACAGAGTAGTAACTAAAAGTATGAAAGTGTGGAATAAGATAACCCAGGGCTTCATGACACTGAGCTTTCAATTTCAGGTGTAACAAGCCTTGCAAAGACTTGAATATACATGGTAAACTCAAGAGTCTCAAAGATCCAGCGAGTATAAAGAGACACACAAGAGAGCCTAAAGAAAGCCCGAGTGTTTATTTCAATGCAAATGAGAGAATTAGTCTCTGTGTGTTTGTGTGTGTGTGTGTGTGTGTAGACGACTGTGTTTAGTCTTGCAGATGTTGAATGAGTGTTCACTGGTTGTTTACACCATTTCCAAAATGTGTGATCTAAGAAAAACTGCTTGTTTATCTTTGGTGTAAGAAAGACGGGGAAGGAGAGAGAGGTTCAGAGGCCAGATACAGGGAAAATAAGCATGACTTGCTCATACTTAACGCTCACAGCAAGATGATCAGTCCTGGGCTTCTCTCCACACTGGAGTCATTTCACAGATATGTTCCATGCCTACATCACATTTGACCAAAATTCCCTCATCAGCTTAATGCATAATAATTATCTTCTTAAAATTCAGAGGTTGGAGGAGAAAAACGAACACATTTTCAAAATTAAATATGAAGCTTTTCTGTACCCATTGCATTGAAACCCAGGTTTAAAAATATCAAAAATATCATTAATTTTTTTTTTTAATATAGCCATGTTTTATAGGATTGATGACTTAATGGTGGTTAGCAGTATGTGTGAGTGAGCACGCACCTAATCTGATGCTCTCTCTCTCTCTCTCACACACACACACACACACACACACACACCCACACATACACACACAGGTGTGAGACGTGGACAGATGAGTAATGATGCCATTGAACGACTGTATGTTCCTGACAGAGTGCACGTCTCTACTGTAGGGTGTGGATTGCCTCCAATTTTTAAAGACGCAGACCTTGGTCACACCACACTGTTGGAAACGAGGGTAAATTCCAGTTTATTTTCAGCGACATGACAATTACACATAACTTGTAAAAGTGCATGTAGCATCCTATGACCCCTTTAAAATAAAGTGTGACAGATACTTTTGATTTTACAAATGAATTAGTATATGTTGAAATTCATTAATAAATGCTGTAGAAGTACTGTCCATTCTTAGTTCATGTTAACTAATGTAGTTAACCTATGTTAACAAATGAAACCTTATTGTCAAGTGTTACCAAATACCATGACTAAGTGCAGTATCTAGTTCATTATATCAGTAACAAGTCATGGGGACATGGCAACCTTTACTGAGAATGAACCTCCTCCTCACTGATTGGACAAAATGCAAAAAAAAATCTGGGATTTAAACCTGCAAGCACCCGGTTCATGCCATTTAACTCCAAGTTAAACTGATGGGGTAAAGTTCACTGGTAGATCCAACTAAAATGACGGTTTACACGGGAGACGTGAACCTGCCACCCCAAAATTCCTCCTCTAATCACAGCTTAAGTCACTTACAACATTCTTGGGGTATTTAAGCGGCCAAGGGGCCTGTGTAGGTGGGGGGAGGGCGGCAAGAGGATTATCTTATATTTCATAGGTAGTGCAAAGCTGCTGCTCTTAAGTGCTTCACGTGGTTATATTATGTCAAACATATCGGCTAATCTACAGGTACATCTCAAAAAATTAGAATATCATGAAAAAGGCCAATATTTTTTTTCACTCATTTCAGAAAGTGAAACCCATATATTATATAGATTCAAAATTTCAAGAAATAAAGGCTTGAAATATTTCACTCTGTGTAATGAATCTATATAATATATAGGTTTCACTTTCTGAAATGAGTGACAAAAAATATTGACCTTTTTCATGATATTCTAATTTTTTGAGATGTACCTGTAGTATGAGCGAAGCGCCGCTCAGGCTAAAATCAGCTATTTCAAAACAAACACTGCAAACTGTTCCACAAACCGCTCTTAAACCTAAGCCTCATTAACACTGATCTACTGATGGCTGCCATTCTGATGATCACATGGACCTGTCGGCTCAGGTTTAGCGAGACGGCTGGGACATTTCTGGAATGGTAACGGCTAGTTGAACATTTGTATGTTTTATAGAGTTCAACAAACCAAAACATTTCAACATAATGTTCTCCGAGACTGAACTGAAACACGGGGAGGACACATTCTGAACAAAAATATAGTTTTTAAGTGATGCAACTCTAGGCCACATCTAAAACAAATAATAAAATAACCAATCATTGTTTTTAGGCCTAACAGTGATATGCATTTCTTAACTTAAGTGCAATATGTAAAGCTGTTCTGAAAACTTTTCAGCATGTATCAAGAAATTTAGCAATTATTCCTATTTATAAAATAGGGACATGCAGGAGCATCATGCATCTGTTTTTTTGGGAACAGTTTGAACTGAAAGAGCAGATGATGACAGTTTTCATTTGATTCAAGTTGGCTGGACCTCAAGATGTAAAAGTTTACCTACAAGAAATAAGGTCAGATATGCTCCTGAATGCCCATAATGCTTCTGGAGTAATGAGTTAAGGCCCGTTCACACTATATTATTCACACCAGCGGACGATGTCATCGGTTTATTCTAAGCACACGCTTGTCTCGATTGATTCTGATTGGGCGTCAATGTTTTTATCGTTCATCAGCTGGAAAAAATTATTCTGAAAGTGATTCCAACGATATCGTTTCTCTGTGCCTTTATCGTTATAGCTGTGATGTGGACTCTGCTATTCTTTAATATTGAGAGCGATTTTTAGAACTATATCCTTATCGTTATCTTTATACTTATCGTCCTTGGTGTGAACAGGCCTTTCCTCAAGAATACTGTCTACTGAAATCTGTAAGAAATAGCTGGTTGATGACTTCAAAAGGAACCTAAACACTGAATACTATATTGCAATTAATAAATACTAACCAGACCAACAGCTATGCAAGGTGCTTTCGTGTAATCGTAACACATCAAGAGTTTTCAAACAAAATTTTATAGAAAAAGAGCAATATAATTTGAAAATAAATATGCTGTACTACATTACACAGACACAAAAAAGATGTTAATATTCAACATATTTACATAGAGTAAATAAATAATGTAAAACTCCAATCAAGTCAGACCACATCTGATCATACTGTCAGCTTGTTAGATCTTATAGTAGAAGTAAATGGCGATGTGGGTTTGGCCTATATTTACATTTGGCTGCTATATTGTTATTCAATACGTATGTCACACTGACATCAGGACTGTTTCGCCAAAACATACACATGCACGCGCTCAAACATACATACACGAAATCACATTTACACGGTTTGTTTGTTAGAGATCACACGGCACACACACATCTGCAGCAAGGCGGCAAAGTCAAGGCAGTTGGCAACACAACTCACTGATCAGTATTAGGAATGTTTCTCTGTTCATCTACGGAAAATAAAACAGGATGAAAAGCTTTTTTTCCCTCCGGACAGCCGTGGAGGTTTGCAGACAATAAAGGGCGAGAAGATCCATCTTAACATAACACTGCACATAAATAGGTCAAATTAAATACAAAGAGATAGAATACTGAAAATATTCTAAAAAATCATAAATTACTGAATTGCTTAGGGGAACAGATTTGGACTAAAATTCCAAGACTAGCTGAACGACAACGAAAGACCTAGCACAAAATCGTCATCTTAAATCCCCAGTAGTGTGGAAGCATGGAATCTAATCACACGATCTACACAAAGTGGTTTCCAAACATGTCAAAGAATGAATATCCCTTTAAGGAGTGAATATGACCAAAATCCTCTTAGGTTTGCCTTGTCAAGGTCAGAGCTCTGGTGCAAACATTTACCACAGCAGCCAGTGGGTTTCCATGGCAACTTTCCAATGACAGAATCAGTTCAAAACTTCCGTCAAAACTCCAGTCATTTGTCCATCTCTAAAAACACACGCATTGTTCTCAGTGTTCACGTACTGGGAGGAATGATTCCACAGGGCGTAGTGGACGCTGGCGAATTGTTGCAGTCCTCCAAACATTTCATTTGCGCTTTAGATTCACATGAAAAACTGCACAGCAGACCCAAATCCAGTGATGTGTTTCGTTGAGTGATTTCGAGTACGACTTCACGCACGCCAGCCGAGATCAGAAACTATTACGCAGGTCTTTTCCGAAGACCATTTAGCAGCAAATCAAATCCTGTGCTTTCAGTCTCTCACTTCGCTTAACACACACGAATATCATGAAAATATACAGAGAGAACATTTCATTGACTATTAGCCCCCCACCTCCCCCAAACCCCTTCACTTCATTCGCTCAATATCTCCAGGACGGAAAAATGAGACCAAAGTTCAAAGCTGAAAGTTCAAAGTGCTGTGAATTATTGTGAAATATTCCTTCATGTCAGAGTCCATTCTCAAGTCGGTTCGGTTCACCTCCTTGGTTTGTCACATCTGGGAAAGTAAGTGGAAAAATCACAAATGAAATCTCTATAATATCGCAATTATTCACCCTAGACAGGAATATTAAACCTTCGCTCAAGGTTTCTGCCAAAAAGGTTCCTTCTCACAAAGTATCTTCTATAGTTTCAGAAGAGATGCATCAATGTCTTAAACTGAACTCGGAATTAAACAACAACATTTCTCATGAAATGGTATCTTTACACTCTTTTCCATACATAACTAAATTTAGGAGAAATGAGTTGATATTTAAAGAAGCAGCAGTTGTTTGTATGGAAAAGGGCAACATGAACATTCTACCAAACATCTCCGTTTGTCTCCAAAGTGCAACTTCTGAGCAACACATCTTTTGTCAAGGGATGCACATGACAATACAGAAACAGGAAGGCCAGTCTTGCACTAACATGTGTAGATACACAAGAAAGTGTAGATTCACAAACACACCTGCAGGTCCTTTCGTTGAGTTCTAGTTGTCTAGACCTGCAGTCGGCTTCAGAGTGTTTACAGGAGCACTGACACGTCTCGGGGTCTTGAACAAACAACCTTCTTTTCCTTTCAGAGCATGGAGAACAGCAAGGCTCACACTGACTACTGAAACAAGACAGAATGCGAGAAAAGGAAAAGGATTGGGGGAGATTACAGCTGACACATAGTCATGGCAAATATTATTAAACACTTTCACTCAAACACACACACACACAGGCACTCGGTAAGTCAAGCAGTACGTTTTTTGAGCCACCCTCGTCTGGTACAACGGGGTTTTGCCCCTTCTAAGGGTCCGAGAGGGTTTTGTAGAGTGTGAATAGCTGACATTAGGCAGAAAGTGGCCATGCACCAGCAAGCTCAGTTGATGCAAGAAAATAATGAAAACAACAATAATCGGTTTCAGAAAAGCATAATGGAATAAAAGTCAGAGATAGCGCAGTGCATGAAAATCCAGTGTTTCTGTTTATTGCTTTTTGTAGTGTTGGATCAGGGTCATCAGGACACATGTACAGTAAAAAACGCTGGACTCCAAGAGGAAGATTCACACATATTTGAGCCAACTGACCTTATCTGAAGCCAATATTTCTCTGAGGACAGGCTTATCAAAGCTACAGTCTAAAATTCTACATTTAACCCTAACTTCAATTCACAACAGTGTTAAGACCTATTTACACAAAGTCTGAACGTTTGGCATGAAAAACATGCACAAGATTTTATTTTACACATTATAATCGAGAGAAAGAGGATCGTGTTAGGGAAATGTCACAACCCACATAAGCATCTCGATGTTCTGAGCATTAAGTCACAGCTCTGGCCACAATATGATTTTACATCCAAATTTGAAATCCAAATCTTCTTGGGGAATGTCAAAAATTCAGTGTGAATAGTTGTGGTGCAAAATAACTACTTTCATGCTGTTTTGTCTAAACAAGCCTCAAATCTAATTTAACTTTTTATAAATAAACGCAAACCCCAGCCCTCAGAAAAATACTGACCTCAAAAGCATCAGTCCCACAGGAGCAGACTGTCCCCATGTTCGTATTTCTTTGCTCTTTCATTCTCATTGAAACACAATTAATTTCCCAATTACTGGGAGAAGCACCAAAGTAAACAGGCTGTTTGACTTTCGTAATGCTGTGCGGCAGAGCTCACGCAGCACGACAAGACCAAACTCACAGCAATTAATTAAAAAAACCATCTCACACAATCCTTCTCATATGTCAGAGGACATAACCGATGCGAGGATGACGGTAAGTCCTAATACAATTGTGAGAACAAAAAACATTCCAAAAACAGGAAGCAGCACAAACAAGTTTGTGATTCCAACACAAATATTGCAATAGATTAATACCATCGACTGAAAGCCATGCTGGGTGGATCGGGTGAGTTTGTATGTCGGCTACCTCCTCACTGCCCACCTCCTCCAATCATAGAGCTTGATTTATTGGGCACAACCTATAGAGCTCAACTGTAGGGTTCCAGAAATAGAAATCCCATTCATTTCCTCCATTAAAAAACAGACAGACCTATGAGCTCACAGGCTGTTAAGGGGTGGTGCTTTTGCAGATGGTGCATTCGCGATTTTTCATTTCTGAATTCCCATGAAGCGCTGCACTAGTTACAATCCTTAAACGAGATCCTGAGAACCTGAAAACCAACCTTGGAAATGAGAACAAGTCTCTTTCAAAAGATAGCTTCTGAGACCCCTGATCGACAACTTCCATAAAGCACTGCTAATGATGAAATCCAAGAAGCTTCTACACCCGCAATCAACGTATATATTTGACTATTTTGCAACAAACATCTCATATAAGATGAATCGTCTCTGTATAATTTATTTTACGCTTGTATTCAATGACTTGTCAGACTTGTTAGTGTATTGTGGCTATTGTTTGGATTACATCATTCACAACGCTGCATGGGATGAATAGTTCATTCTCTCATAAAACTACTATTTTCCAAATACTTTCTTCGTTCGAATCAAAAGTTGTAGTCCTGTGATTCGTCTTGGTTTGGTTGAAGGCTTAGCAATCTTTACAGATGAAGTTTTTGAAATGCCTAAGGAGAATGAATAGAAAATGAATGGGAAAATAATTCTGACTGAAAAAGCGGGTGGTTGCGCTCTACTTGATTTGTACCAAAAAAAGTCCTAAACAATTTGACCAAACTTGTCAATGTTAATGGTTTTAGCATGTGCTTCGGCGTTAGTGAGTCAAGCTCTGTGAAAGCAGAGATCGGGCATGTGGTTTTGTGGGATAGTTTTCATTAAGTTGTGGAGGAGCTGATGGATTAATGGCAATTAACAACGTCCGACAGGAATGCACTGATTAAAGGAGGCATAAAATCTCCTCCCAAATTAATTTGACGACCAAGAGTGCCACACTCAGGTGCAGGTGAGAGGAGGCGAACGCAGAGGTGACGTACAAATCCCGCTTTTTTTCACGGTTTTTCTTTCTCTTTCGCTTTTGGCCTTTGCCCTTCCGGGGTTTTCTGGAAAGGGAACATGACAAACAAAGAAGAACATCGAGAAACAAAATCTGAATCGGGGTTGTTGCAAAAGATCATCCAACACAGCTTGCAGTGAACGTAGTGCTAAAATGATCCAGATGGAAACATTAGCAAACATGTCTTCTTATTCTTGTATAAGTTCCTGACACAATAGCAAACTCCGTGAAACGTGAATTAGAAATTAAAAGCCAGCTAGGCTCTGGGGAAATTCGTCAATTCTTCACATTCTCTCACACGAAGACATTACAATAAATAAGACGTTAAATCTTCAAAAGCTTCAGTAACATATGAAGGATTCCAGGCAAACTGATTCATTCCGAGCCAAAGCTCAACATCTACTGGTGAGTTTTAACTCATTTTAGCGACTTCTAATCAGAATACTGATCAATCAGCAAATCAACACACAGCATTGGCGACACACGCATCCATTTATCTTTCAAAAAGCAGAGGATCCTGGCATATCACGTCAGACAGCAAGAATGTGAACCTTCCCCTATCTCACAATCACAGTATGAACTGAAGTACCACGGTTCCGTATATGGTTATTTGCATTAGTGGTTGACCAATATGGGTTTTTCAATGCGCAATGAAAATAACTGAATTGCAAGATGTCCAATAGAGATGTAATTGAGACTAAAAATGTTTGAAAGCATTGACTTAATTTTATGAATCATTTCATAAAGGCGTCTCTTACGAACGTTACGAAGTTGAAGCTGTTTAAACAGAACATCAGGACTGTACCGTTGACGCATCAGGCGGATTATTATCTATGATTACATTTATTGTTTTCAGAGGTCAGATTCAATCATGTTATGAGGCAGTTGTCTTTGAACACAGTGAGGAACAGCTTTTGTGTCAATGGGCCACTTGTTTACCAGAACCAGAAAGCATTTCAACTTTTTAACCCCCTTGAGATAACCTCTGACCCGTAACACATCAGCCACAAGATCAACACCCTCTGCAATAGCATCAACTTCAGTAAACTTTTTAAAGGGGTCATATGATGCGATTTCAATTGTTCCTTTCTCTTTCGAGTGTTACAAGCTCTTGGTGCATAAAGAAGATCTGTAAAGTTGCAAAGACTAAAGTCTCAAATCCAAAGAGATATTCTTTATAAAAGTTAAGAGTCAGCCAAGGTATTCGGCCAATCACAACGCATTGGATAGCTGGCCAATCACAGCTCACCTCGCTTTTTCAGACCGATGAGCTTTGTAAAAATTGACGCGTTTCAGAAAGGCGGGGCATAGAGGAGAAACAATAATGTACAGTATGTGGAAAATAATGTTTTTTTTTAACCTTAAACCGCATAAACACATTTCATTACACCAAATACACAAAATAATGTTCTTTTTAGCAACATCATATGACCCCTTTAAACACTTCGGCCCGCATTCTCTGGCGAGAGGGAGTCATCAGAGAGGGGTTGACTGACCGCTGCGGTTTCTCTGAGGAGTGGAAACGGCCTCGTGAGCAAACGCACAAAACGCTGTCTTATCGCCCGACGTAAAGACACTTCAGAGATGACAAATCCCTCTCTTACCTCAGTGAACCTCAGATCATAAAGCAGAGCTTAGAGATGAATGTGGGGTGAGGGCATTGAACTAGCGGGTGAAACTCGCACACCTGTTCACGCAGCTCTTTACACACCTGAGGTGCTGAATTTACACCCAAAAACCCAACGTGCGATGACATGAAGACATCAAACAGTAAGTGAGATCAGACAGTAGTGTAAGGGTCAGAGAGTATCTATAGACGGTTGCATTAACAAAAGCAGTAGTTCTGGTCTTGTGCTAGGGATGGGCAATATAGCTAAAAATTACATCTGTATATAATAATAATAATATACTTTTAGAACTGCAATAAAAAAGTCAGAATAGTAAGATAACAAGTCACTAACCGTTTTAAATTTTTTATTTCATGGCAGACAAAGACTTTTTTTGCAATTTTCACAATTCAGACTTTTCTTCTGAGAATTGTGAGTTTATATCTAACAATTCAGAATTTATATTATTTATAAAGTTCAAATTGTGAGAAAAAAAGGCAGAATTGTGAGATAAAAGTCACAATTACCTTAAGTAAATAAGCTTCCATATACTTGTTCTGTAAAGACTTTCATAAAGTGGAGCAATCATTTCAACTAAACAGCCATTGTAGTTGTAAAATACAGTAAATACATACTTTAAAAGGCATGTTTACCACACAATTTTTCACTAAGTAAAGGCTATTTAGGAAGAATGTATATGTATTATTATAAGAGATAGTAATAATTTAACTAAATACATTAAAGCACTGAATGCATTTATTTTTTGAGTGATAAACAAATGGCTGAATCAGAGCTGAACTGATTCACTGAAATAAATACTTTTGAAAAAAAATCTTTGTCTAACCCCCGGTTTCACAGACAAGGCTTAAGCTAGTCCCAGACTGTTTGAGCTGTCTCAACTGAAAATATCTTGCTCTGACATATCTTAAAATGTGTCAGTGTCGTTGTTCTGTGTCAAGACGCACACCTGTAATGTTTTCTTCTAAGGCATTTTTGTAAAAGTTGCTTAAATATCTTAATTTAACTAAGACCTAGTCTTGGCTTAAGCTAAACCCCGTTTGTGAAACCGGGCCTTAATGTTCTCAAACTTGGGAACACACAGTGAGAACTTCTTTAGAAAACATGACGGTCAAAATAAAAAACATTCACAATATTATCTAAATTTATATTGCTAGCAAAAATATTGTATATATATATATATATATATATATATATATCACACAGTCCTAGCTTTTGCTTAGCTTTAGTTTGACAATTGTGCCACTAATGATTTTCCAGATCTAAATCACCTATTCGCTTGGTTCAACAACAACGAAGAGCTCCACTGTTCTCTCACGATCAGATTTTATGGCTTTATGTAACATGAAAAGCAGGGAGATGAGATGAAAGGACCAGGAAGGAAAGGAAAACAGGAAGGAATACACCTAGCTGGAGATAAGGGTGACTGAGATAAAGGCAGAGAGATTGATGGAGGGGAAGATGACAAAATAGAGCGAGAGCAAAAGCATGCACACACATACAACATCACCACACGAGAACAACAACACTCACTTTTCTTTTTTCTCCAGAACATCTTTCCTCAGCCTGAAAGAGCAACAAAAAAGCGACCCTTTACCTCAGTGAACATGTTTGTTTGTGTGCACGCAACAAACACACTTATAATTAAAGACCTGCACACAGAGGTGTTCAAACGTCCACTTACACCCCTCAGTTATATTAATACAGCTAGAAATACAATTATAGAGCAGATAATAGCAGACCAATAATAAAAGACAAAAGGAAGTGGGTGAGTTTATATAAATTGTCCCCAAAGGTTAAATCTGACAGCTTTTCTTTGGTGACAATCTTCATTTCAGTAAAAAGTCTTCATTTTTGTTCAAGAGTAACGATTATTTCTAAATAAAAAATAAATAAAATAAATTCTAAAAATGGAAAAGGTTTTAATCTTCATTTCAGTAAAAAGTCTTCATTTTTGTTCAAGAGTAACAATTATTTCTAAATAAAAAATAAATAAAATAAATTCTAAAAATGGAAAAGGTTTCCTTAAGGGGTAAGAACAGGATTTGTTTTTGTATAATTAGCTATAAAAAGTATCTGTGTGTATGTATGTGTGTTGAAATGAGGCTTCTTACCGACACTGGCATTCACTGTGTTCTGCAAAACTCATGAAAAATTCACCCTGATGACGGAGCGGTTTCAGTCTTTTAATCTACAGAAGAAAGCAATAACACGTTAAAACAGCACATCATAGACAGTGTTACGTAAAACACTACCTAAAAATTGGCTACTCTTATTCAGGAGAAACCCTGTTGGCTTGGCCAAAAAGAGAGAGATAAAGGGTTTGAGTGTGGGAGACAAAGCAGAGGAGTGTAGGGTTTCCAAAAAGTAGACTTAACAAGATTCAGACGGATAGCGGAAGAAATAAAATAGAGAGAAAAGGGGAGCAACAGTCTGGAAGTTAGGGGTCTCTGACCTCCAAGGTAATGTTGTATGTGACGGTAGGGGTGCATTCCATCATCTCATCATTGCAGCACCCAGCACAGCGGGTGAGAACCACACAGGACGGGATGAAGATATGCTCTATGTCATCAGGGTATTCCTGCTGAATTTCCACCAGCACTTCCCGAGGACGGCAGAGAGACTTGTTATACACTTCCATGAATGGCACCACTGCAAGTTAAAGAAAAGGGGAAATCAGTCTCTTTTTTTGCCAAAAATGTAAGCCAAGAGTTGCACCACTGAGAGCGAGACGGTCTTTGCTCTTATTCAAGGCCAACACTGTTTGGAAATATGGGAGCCCTTCTAGGAATTTGTGACTGAGTGGTGTCCATTTGAACCATGTACATTCCTTGTGTTGCACTCTGCGAACTTCAAAAAAACAACACCCCAAAACATGTTTAAGTAGCCTGTGTGTATGTTCTGTGCAGTTGTGTGTCTGGTTCTCTGGGTTTAGCAGAGATTGAGCAATGAGAGGTCTGGCAATGCTTACTCCAAATTATCCCTTGGAGGTTTGTGTGTTGAGAAGTATTACAAACCACAGTGGATTGAGAGCTTCTAATAAATACTACAAATTTATCCGAAACTATGCAGTGTCAGCTTGATTAAAGGCATAGAAGCTTTCCTTCACCCGTCCACCAGAGGGCGCTACACTCAGTGAATCTGTACATGTCCAATCTCTGGATGACACCATTGAGTGCCAGAAGAAACTTACCATCATATGTGCTTCTGCCTCCCTCCCTGGGTATGTAGGCACTCTGTGGTAAAAAAAAAAAAGAAGAAGACATTTTAGTCAGAAATTTATATTTATACAACTGTACAGTTGTACATATTAATTCATAATTGTTAGTCACATGAGTCCCAACGGGTTTGACTAGTTATTAACCACAGGTTTAGGATGATGCAACAAATTACCTAATTTCATTTCAAAGTCAAAGTTCATCATAAAACTTAATAATGTTAGCTATCACAAATAATTATTCTTTTCTGGCTTGTGTAAAGTAACTCAAGTAAACCTATCAACAACTCAAGTCTGAAACTCAGACTCAAGTTAACGCAGGTTAAGTTGCAAAAACCTGACATTTAAGAAGTTCACTAGAGATATGACTTTGACTCCTAATGAGAGACTAAAGAAATGAAAATAACGTGAAAGACTTTTCAAGCTTTCAGAGATTTTTTTTTTAAATTGTTGTGCAACAGGGTTTCTAACACTAATCTGTAGAATACAGAAAACTATTAATAAAAAAAAGAGACTTAAGTCTTAGACTTGGCCTTGAAAGACCCGAGACTTGATTTAGACTTGGCCTTGATAGTTTTCTGTCACTTGGACTCTGCATTAGAGAGCTGTGAACATTTCAGATCTCAGACACTTCAGATTTCGCAAAAAGCTCCATGGAGAGACCATGTGCATTTCTCAATGAAGCGTTTTACTCACTTTAACAGACCGGCTTAGCTTTTTCTTGGGTTTTATATGGTTTAACATATTTTTTCACATTATTCCATTGCATTAAGTACAAACTTAGTACATTGCATTAACTCATCAAACTGCCCGATTAACCATTTTATTTGTATTTATGCATGTCCTTGAATATAACGCTTCAAATTTCATCAAGAACAAGTCTCTCTGGTTAAAATGTTCTGAAGGTTGGCTCAAATCATAACTTAAATGACTGATATCTCTACATTGTGATCTCCAGAGGCCGAATATGTTGTTAGCCGGTCCGTCTGAAGCTCTAGACTGTAGCTGCGTCTTTAAAGCGTAATAATATCACGAAGGAGGCTATGATAGGGCCTTCACCAAAACCGACAACAAACTTCCAAACTGTTGAATGGACTCTGATTGTGTATATCGTTGAATTCCCCCGGTTGTATCCTGTCTACAGAGTTAAATGGCTCACTGAGGGCTGGTCCGATTTGCTTGTTCAAGTGATTTTGAATAGCTTGGCAAGACATGGTCAATGACCTCGCAAGGGGACACACAAGGACGTCCAATATAGTGGCGCAGGCACATTACATTCGAAACAACAGTATTTACATTTCAACCAATACGTCGGGTGCATTCTCTATACATGCACAGGCATCTAAAACTTACCTTGACAGCTGAAAAATACAGAAGCGTCACAAGAAATAACTGGAGCACGCGAACGGCAAAGTTCATGATTAAATTTATAAGGCGAATAAATCTTTTAAAAACCCTATCCGATGATAGGCGGACTTTAGCAAACGCATTGGTAAAGGTCTCGGAGAGCAAGTTAGACATGAGTAAAGGCTTCTTCACAAGGGGTCCGACTTATAGGGGCAACGAGAATCCCATGTTGGTCCCATAACACGCATGCAGACACCTGAGAGAGAGAGATTGAGATCCACGGCAAGTGTGTTAGAGCGTCTCTCAGCTGTTGCCGATTATTTTCAGAATATCCAGAAATATGAGAATCCAGGACGCAGGTCCTCTCACATTGTTGAAAAGTAAACTAAAATTTTCTTCCAAGGCTACTACAATCCACATCACAAAAGTAATCCCATGCTTAGCCTGCTGCCCGTCTCCAAGTGCGTTGGGTTCATTGGGAATGGGACGCAGAATGGATCAGAAACTCACTCTCTGATACAGATCTGAGTATTGCCGCCACTGTGTTTTATTAGTGGAGCGTACAGTGATACCAGTGGGAACACAAAGGCGCTGAGAAGAGAATGCAAAATCCAAACTCAACTTCTAGTCCCTACGAATGAACGTTGCTTTAATTCCGCTTCCTGTTGGATTTGTCGTCTCGCTCTTGCCGTTATGAATGATCAGGGACGCCGCCGTTCCCCGGTTTTAACGAACAGCTTGAGCTGTCGGTCAGTTCTGCGATTGAATCCACGCCATTGGACGAGTCACCGCGATGGGCGTGGCCATAGTGGTGTCAGCGTGGACTTCTCGGGCGTTCAGCGTTGAGTCAATGCGCAGATCTTCACTCAAATGACAACTGAAAGAGAAACGAGATGTCGCTATCTGCTTACAGCGGACTGGCATCAGTTATGTTTAGGTGCATGCTATAAAACGGGCATTATGGCTAGCGTTTAATCACTTGAATAAATGTATACAAAACGACACAGTGTAGCTATAGCCTAGTGAGCCATCGTTACAGAATGAATGTACATTATATTTTATATATTTGTACGCTTAACAGTTGAGCTCAAAAGTCAGAGACCAGACCACCGCTAAGAAAAAAAAGAAAAATCTGAATTTCGAAATGCCATGCCCTTTTTGCATAATGATAGAATGAAATAGGGCATGATCTTTATATAGCTAATTTATAAATATATATATATATGAATTAACCATAATAAGTATGCCTAATACCCGCTGCGTAATGCAGGGTTGTACGTGCAGAAGCGTAGCGGTCTACAGTATGTGGTAATAGCAGTTTGAATATCATCCGCATCACCTGACGGCAGCGCTGACGCCTTTTTGGGGCTTCTCGGTCATCTGCAAGGTTGCGTGTAAAACGGGAAGGGTGCTAGGTAATGAGGGCGTGATCACATGTGTAAGTGTGTGTCCATCACCACGTACAGGTGTTTGCGCGAGCGCTAGTCAGTCCGTGAGCTTATGTGAGCCGCGGTCAGTCCGGCCAGCTCACTCGGGACTCCACTGAACACCACTGTCGGATTCACAAAACGACATCCCGTTTCCATAGACACACATAGATTCAGGAAAAATAGGAATTTAATCCAAACGTTGAGTTAAAACTAAAAGTGACGTTTTATATTCGTATTACGGATTAAGGGATATATATATAATTTTTTTTTTTTTTTGTCTCAACGGGAAAGTTTTTCCGCATGTGGCAATTTCACACGTAGGCAGCTGTGAATCGAGTAAATTCAGGATAGATTTTCATGTATAACTTAAGTGGTTTCGAACAAAATCCATCTCTCATCTTATTACATAAATTCCCCATAGACTTGATGACACTTGGTTTATGAGACTAAAAGCGTTTTATAAGCTATCTCTATTTTAATAATAAAAAAAAAGTTCCTCACTCATTTGGTTTACTGTAAATTGCATTGGCGCCATCTGCCTGTCACTACACGTATAGCACGTGTAGGGGGCTTGTGCGTGTTGCCATGTCCACTTAACACAAGCAATACATATATACTTATAAATATGGACATATTATTAATAGATAATATGGACACTTATAAATAGTTTCCATTTTTGGGCTTATTTCCACCAGCATAAAGTCGCATATTTTTGATTGCTTTTATTATACTACAATAAATCAAATCAACAAAGTCAAGCAATTCCCCTTAATCCATAAACCACATATCCATAGAATCACAAACAACTGGGGTCACTTATGTAGGCTTGTTTTTGTGAAGCAAGACATTTATTTTAAGGGCTATATTGTCAGACTAGGTTGCTTGCTTTTCTGCCCATATCTGGCAACATCAGTCTCTGTTCCCAGTATCACTGACTGTGTAGTAAAAGCCTCTTGCATGGAGTAAGATTACTAAGGTAATTTATGATGTGAAATACATTAGATAGTCAGCCTGATTGCATATCTTGGTGATAGTCACCAATTAGCAAGTCTCAGCAGCTGCAGAAAAGCACCAGCACTCGCTCTCAGCACACACTCAGACAGACACGCACCTCAGTAAGGGCTGTTTAGTCTAAGTGCTAGAGGAAACCTTGAGTGCAAGGTGAAAGAGTGGGAGGAAGCTTCAGAGAATGAAAGAGAGGTGGATATACTTAAAACAGGAAAGAGGTGTGTAAAGACAGAAAAAGTCAAAGAAGAGAGCTGTACAGAATGAGTTAAAAAGTGAGGTGTTGATGTAGGAGGTAATGAGAAGAGATGTTTGTTTTTTGTTAGTGTGGTTTGTGCGTCAGATTTTAATTGAAAAATAACAGATAGATATGAGCTACACTGCCACCTGTCAGAAATACTGCAAACTCAGTAAGGACAAAACTAATGAAGTTTACACTCCTACTGCTGTTCCTGAAAGCTTCAGTACGCAAACACCGACCCACAGATGGGAAGTCACCAAAACGACTGTACTGTCATTATTGTTAAACTAAACTAAACATCAACATTTTTTGATTTTAAAATTTTTAGATTTGTAATTTTTTTTTTTAGAGTTAAATTTTTATTTAAAATCTAAAAATCTAAATCTAAACTCATCCTTTCCAATCATCCTACTACTTGTCCACTTGATCCTATTCCCCCTCATCTCCTTCAAGCCATTTCTCCTGCAGTTGTACCTGCACTCTGCTTGCATAAAATTCAAGGCATTAATGTTTGCCTACAAAACCAAATTGAAAAAATTAAAAAATATATTACAAAAAAACTAACACTAGCTTTCTATTTTTTCTATTCTATCTACTTGTTTTTCTTTGTGTGTGTGTGTATATATATATATATATATATAAATACCTTGCTATGTGTACTGCGTTAGGCTAACCGAGACTTGTCATTTGCACTTACATACTGTTGCTCTTTTGTTAGTTTTGATTGCTTCTATTGTCCTCATTTGTAAGTCGCTTTGGATAAAGGCATCTGCTAAATGACTGTGACATGTAATGTAAATATTGTTCAATAGAGCACAACAATGACCACCGACTTTTTCAGCAGCCTTGCGTTTAAAATATTTTCCCATTCATTTTCTACACAGGCATTAAAATAAAATAAAAAAGAGAGAGATTAAATGTGCAATGCTTTTCATATAGTTTGTATTAAGGTTTATATATTGTTGTTTAAAATAAATTTCTCTACTGAGAAAATGAATGGCATTTTTATTTTCGAAACTGTTCCACTCGATTCCACGGTCATCATAATTTCCTAGTTCTGTCTAGTGTTCAGTTCTTTAGCAGCTCTTGTTCTGTGCTTCACAAAGAGAGTCTCTTACACTTCACTACCACTCACTCAGGTATGGGGCGAGTCCTGTATGCATACGCCACTCCCGACCACACACACACTCATACAGGTCCGTGTCAGAGGGAAATAAAATGGCTCATAGCCAGGCCCAGATTAGACTGACTTTACTTCCAGTAAAAGCACAGCTCAGATATCCAGAGAAGGAAGTCAGAAAATATCTGTCAGAAAATATTCCATAGCTGTCAGGAGGAAGTTGTAGATTCAGATATGATTTTGTAGGTTGTAGGTGGATGCTGAGAAAATGTGATCCTTCAATTAGGTCTACTTTACTTTGAAAATAATCTTAATAAATGGTTAACATTAAAATAATTTTTCAGCTCTACTGACAGCATCGGTTGTATGCTTGCCCTATAGACGTTCATTGTCAGTAACTGTCAAAAGACTGTGAAAAATAATTTTCTGTAGTATATGGCACTGAAGCTATTGACAAAGTTTATCTTTCATTTAACCTATAATATTCTTTTAATAAAAGCATTCAGAAGTGTTGAAACCTGGATCATGATGAAACCGAGCTATGTGGTTGCATCATTCCTGGACATAAAATATTAACCTCATTTTTAATAAATACCAGTCTTTTCCCAGTGTGATTAGTCACTCACCTTGCAAGTGCCAAACCAAACAGATCATTTTTGGATGATTTGAACATGTCCATGTACAACACAATGAGCTCATGATCATGCGACATCATGATCTTTACACACCCAGCGCTTATCCTGCAGGAAGCTGAGCCTGCATTTCCTGTGAGAGATATTAATGCTGGTTTGTTGGTTTATATAAACAACTTCTTTTAAATTAGCTGTACATCATGCTTTCCCTTTTTATAAGAATAACACAGGGTAAAATTCATCCTCACACACCCATAATTGTCTTATCCATCAATGTCTCCACATCCATCAATGTTTGCTGTTTCAGCTAAGACTGTACGAAAAACAAAGACGGATTAATTTGATAGGAAAAAGGAGGGGAGAAAAACAGAGAAATAAGTGATATACGGCATTAGAAAAGGCCAATAATATATATAATATGTGTATGTAGTACAGAGAAAGTAGTTATGTATTCTCGCTCTTCCCATTTGATTGTGCAAGAAGTGTAGGAGTGTAAACATATACGTTCATTAATGTGTGACTGTGTACGTGCATGTGGACAGCACACTGCTTAGGGTTTGGGTTTTTTCTAAACTACAAGCAATTTTTCTGTGCACACTGAAAATACAGGTCAGTGCAACAAAATTAGAACACAGTGCTGACAAGTGTTCTCTGCAGCTGAAGAGCTTAAACTTAAAGCACATACCTTGTATTTTCATGACGTCTCTGATTCTTCTCCAGACAACATCCTTTTGGGGTTTTTCCTTGAGGGGTTTGTCATATAATATCCAATGCTTCTCAAGCAAAATGCTATTTTCTAAGCAATTAGATTTATTTAAGCCCTGTGGGAAATTACATGAGTGAAAAACTTCATACACCTGCATTGAGACTCTTTTGACTTGTGCAAACCACATAGCAACACACTAAAAACCACTCAACCACCAACAACGCTCTAGCATCATGGAGGCCACTTTTGCATGGACATGCACCACTCACATGCTCTCCAGAAAATGGAAAAAAATAAAAAATACAGGTGTTAATGTTAAACTTGAAACATGGATATACATAGCTTGTTTCTTCATATTAACCCTTTGTCACAAATGTCTAATCTCGCTTTAGGTGGCTCAAACAATTCACAGCAGTTGTTTTGTCACTGAAGAATGCAGTGGTTCTGTTGTAGGAGTATTCCAGACCGACAGTGAGAAACCTCAGCCCGTCAGCTCTCCTCAGCTCTCGACGCTGTGTGTTTGTCTGCACTGAACAGTGCATCCAGAGAAACCCTGACAGATTCTTGGATGGGACACAAGGCAGATGAATTCAGTCATTAAACTTAAACGTCCAATAAATCACTGCCATTTTGCTGGCAGTGGGAGTGACCCTCGACCCCTCCAGCTGTGGCAAGTGCGCTACCCGACCCGAAGCAACCTTTAAGAGCAGAGCCCTATACGCTGCACATACATCAACGCTTTTCCCAGAAACCTGGCAAAAACTCACACTCCCCTCATATTTAAGATATATTAATA